AAGCTATGCGGGAAGAAATGGAATCTCTAATGGAGAATAAAACTTGGAAGTTAGTTAACAAACCTAAGGATCATAGGATAGGTTCAATGTAAGTGGATTTACAAATTGAAAGAAGGAAATAATCCTAGTGATCATCCTAGGTATAAGGCCAGATTAGTGGCGAAAGGGTTTACTCAAAAGGAGGGGGTTGATTACAATGAGATATTCTCTCCTGTGATAAAGTACAAAACAATCAGACTGGTTCTTGCATTGGTTGTTCAGTACAACTGGGAACTGGAACAACTAGATGTCAAGACTGCTTTCCTACATGGGGAATTGGAAGAGGATATTTACATGAGTCAGCCTCAAGGTTTTGAGGTGAAAGATAAAACAAACTGTGTGTGCAAATTAGAAAAATCTCTGTATGGGTTTAAACAAAGTCCTCGACAGTGGTACATAAGGTTCGATACCTATGTACTGAAGATAGGTTTTAAAAGGAGTGAACATGATGCATGCCTGTACTATAATGATAGTAAGGAGGGCTGTGAGGTCTACTTGTTGCTGTATGTAGATGACATGCTTCTAGCAAGTTCAAGTAAGACTGAAATCACTAAGATGAAGAACCTTTTAAAATCAGAATTTGATATAAAAGATTTGGGGAGTGCTAAGAAGATTTTGGGGATGGTTATAAAGAGAGATAGAGCTGAAAATAGACTAGTCATTTCCCAAGAAGCCTATCTAAACAAAGTTATAACTAAATTTGGTATGAATGGATCAAAATCTGTGAACGTTGCCTTAGCAGCTCACATGAATCTTTCCAGTGCACAATCTCCTAAGACTGAGGAGGAATTTAGAGAAATGAGGAACATACCATATGCTAATGCTATAGGTTCCGTTATGTTCTTTATGATGACAACCAGGCCTGACTTAGCATATGCTATAAGTTTTTTGAGCAGATTCATGTCAAACCCAGGAAAGCCCCATTGGGCAGGTCTGAAATGGTTGTTAAGGTACATTGTTGGTACATTAAATCTGGGTCTAGTGTATGAAAAGAGATCTGAAAAACTTGCTCTAAAGGGGTATGTAGATTCTGATTTTGCTGGTGACAAGGATAGCAGAAAGTCTACCACAGCGTACTTTTTTACACTAGGTGACAATTGTATAACATGGAAGTCACAGCTGCAGCCTTTAGGTACTTTGTCAAGTACTGAGGCAGAATATGTTGCCATAACTGAGGCGGTTAAAGAATGTACTTGGTTAAAAGGAATTTTAAAATAATTGAACTTCATGCATGATACACCTGTTATGTTTACTGATAGTCAAAGTGCTTTATTGCTTTGTAAAAATCCTGTTTACCAGAAAGAACTAAATATATTGAGGTAAAGTATCATTCTATTCGTGAGAAACTGTCTCAAGGTGAAGTTAATCTTGTTAACATTCACACTGATAGGAATCCTTCTGATATGGGAACAAAAATTCTACCTGCAGGTAAATTTAAATTGTGCTTATCTTTATTACATATTGACATTGGTTAATTTTTCTTTCAGGTAGTGGGCGATGCTGATGAACAGTTCTTCCATGTGCAAATTCGCAACCAAGAGAGAGTGTTAGGAGAACCAAGGTGAAGAATGTGAGAATATGGTTCACCTAACACCATCTATTCAGTTTTTTGTGGACCATTGGATGAAGATCGACGGTCGAGATTTAATCTTGGGGGAGATGTTGTGACTTGATGGTATTGATGTTGACACAATAAGGTCTTCCCACGTTTTTGGTAGAGGCATGGTCTTTCCTTCCTTCCCCTTCTTATGTAGACTCTCTCTGCCATTTTCTATAAGAGCTCTAGGTTTTTTTTTCCCAGCAAAAAAGGACTCTCGGTTTTTAGCTTAAGGTGGTGGTTCTTTGCCGGATTTTTTCCCCTCTCTCTTGGAAGGTGATTTGCAAGTTATGGAGGGCTGTTCCTGAGCCTGAAAAACAGCCATAAGAAGGGAAGAAAGCTGCTGCAAGGAAGAAGCAAAATCTCTCCAGATTCGGCCAAAGACAGGATCCCCAACAGTTAGTCTATATTTCGATAATTAATCGATGTGGAATTATCTATTACATATTTTCGTAAGATGATGGCTCGCTTAAGTAGTCTAATATTGAGATTCGTTATTTTTTTCATTTTTTAATTTTAATTGAATCAAATTGTTGATTTGAGTTTAATGAACTGTGGTTAAAGTTATCAATTTTGTTAAGAGAAATAATTAAATTCTTATATGTTTGATTTATATTTTGACAATTAGATGATATAACACATGTAGATTAACTTCGGAACAAAGCGCTTGTTTGATCGAAAGGGTAGAATGCAAACATTAGGCCTTCAACAATAATTTTGAAAAATTGTCATATCAATTGTTCTTGATCACCCTACAGTCGTCTTGTAGGAAACTCTCATGGTAATTTGATGGCAAATCAGTGATCTATGGGCAAAAAATACTCCACGTCTTACACCTGTGATGCAAAGAATCGCCACGAAGGTCTGATTCCGATTTTGTGGATATTTGACACGTACACTGTCCGCAGATACACGTGTCCTCTCGCACCTAGTCTCCAGAACTTCCCGTTTCTCTGTCCTAAAATAAGTGATTTCTCTCTGCAATTTTCCACTGTTTCTTGGAACTGGGTATTTTGCATACTTTTTTCCTCTGATGAAATTTGTGTAAAAATGAGCAGCACTCGTTCGCTTCTTGATGAGCTCGGCAGCTTTGAAAAGGGAGGATTTTTTGATCTGGGCCACCCTCTCCTTAACCGGATTGCTGAGAGTTTCGTCAAAGCCGCAGGGGCAAGTCTATTTACACACTACACCCACTATATTCTCTGTTATATACGTAATATATATGTCATATGTATATATACACATGCATGTACATGTGAAAAGTTCTGATTTTTATGCTTTTTGCTGATTGATGTCAGATTGGAGCTATTCAAGCTGTATCGCGTGAAGCCTATTTCGTAGCTGTTGAAAGTATGTTGGTTTTATTGATTTGTTGCTGTGGTCTCTCTCTGTGTTAATGTTCTGTTTGGTTTTGAGAAGGGGTGGTTTGGATTATTTTATGAATAATTTGTTTAAGTTTTGGGTTCTTAATGAGATTTGAGATGGAAAGTGATAGATCAGGTGCAAGTGGAGATACAGGCGGCATAGCTCCTCCTAAGGTTGGTGGCGCGAAGAAGAACCGAAGTCGATTGTCGGGGCTTAGAGGTACAAGTAGGATGATATTTACTCAGTCGTATTGAATCTCAGTGAATGTCTGGGACTATGTACTGAAATGGATAAACAGTTAATATAAAGAATTTTTCTTATCTTCCTTTTAATACTGTTCAATGTTGATATTATTATGTATGTAGTGTCCGGGATGTGGAGACGCCGCTGTGGAATATGGTTAACTTGGACCACATGGCCTAATAAGCAAGCATTTGAAAAGCAAAAGAATTGATCTATATATTGTAGTACAATTTTTCTATTCATTAGTTATGCAGGCAAGTTCGGAGGAGAACCTCGAGTTAGATACAGAGCAATGTGAAAGACCCAAATAAGAAAATTTTATTTCGGATCATTATATTCGGGTAGTTATTCTCTCTAAGAAAGATGGGAACAAATAATTTTAATGGTAATTCAAAGCTATTGAGCTACTTGAATTTGGTGGATAGAAGTTCTTGTTTTTTCAAGTGGGCCCAAGGCATGACTCCTTCGGTGAAATTCTTTTTACATAGAATATGGGATGTGAGTTTCAAATTATTGCTATTGGCAAGTAACTACATTTGGAAGGTATTAGTATATTATGTAATGGCAGCAAGCTTTTTTATTGAGAATCAAGTGGTGTTTCCTGATATGTAAGGGTGAAAAGTGGTTAAACATACCTATCTAATTTAGTGATCATTCTTGTGCTTCGAGTCATATGCACATAGATAATAAAAAAGTATAGAAACCTCGGGTGCTTGGGTTAGCTGTGATTATGGAAGGTATTAGTATATTTTACAATGGATAAAGTCTTTATCGAGAATCGTGTGTTGTTTCCTTATCTGTTAAGGGTGAAAAGTGGTAAAACCTACCTATCTAGTTTCTTGATTTATTCCTGAGCTTTGTGTCATATGTGCATAGATTCATACACAAGCATAGAAACCTCGGGTGCGTGGGTTATATGGACCGTAGTGGGACATGTACTCAAAAATCATATTATGTGTGGTATATGTTTTCAATATCTGTTAGCTTGAATATATTGCACTTATCGACTCTATAAACTATTTTTCTTTTGTAGTTCAAGTTATGATTATAGCATATTGTATACACTGAACATGATCTGAAGAGTGAATACTAATTGATGGTTGTAGACTTGTAGCTAATAACTCCACACTTTTCCATTTTTTTATTTTTATTTTTATTTTTTTATGTCCAGGAGAAACAAACAGAAACTCAGTTGAGGCCTTGGTAAGGCTAAATCTTATTCTGCAATATTTCTCTCAAGCAATAAAGTCTATAATCCATCCTCTGATGGCTTTATGCAAACGGAATGGAAGTGGTTTGCCAGCCACTGCACCTGCCTATGGACAAAATTAGATCATTAGTTATGGTAGAGTAGGGTGTCTTGGGAATGGCTCAAATGAATAGCTAAAACTCCATGATCAATAATTATGCAAACCCGAAATCTGAACATGATTGAGGGAACAAGAAACGAATGGTGCACCGGATTTACGATGGAAAACCTCTTGCTTTAGTGAGATTTTCATTCCTTTTTATGATATTACACTAATATGTGGTCATTACTACGATATTAGGTGATGAGCACCGGAAAAGAATCTCTGCAATGGGGTAAGTTTTTATTTTGTTTTTGCGTTCAGTTTTTTCTTGAAGGGATTTGATTTTTTAATCTCTTGGAATTGATATCACCATGATCTGGTTGTTGTCAAAATTTGATGCTTCACAATTTCTCTTACCTTTATCTTGTCCGAATGGACGGCTGAGGTATATGCATTAATGCATTTGGTTTCCTGATATGATGCTCAAGAATCTCCATTAATTTACATTTTCTATTTTTGCAGGGATTGCTGCAGGGATGTATTCAGGTCTTACTTACGGACTGAAAGAGGCTCGTGGAGTTCATGATTGGGTAATTTTTATTTATTTTTTATTTTTTCCATTTTCTTTATAACAAATGTTAGTGTAAATTTAAATACCCTCCTATGTGCCTACACGAGGAATATAGCTTTGTTCATACTCTACCCCATTCTCCCAGGAAGACGCACAAATTGAAAATCCTGTAGTTTGTAAGTTTCACTTGTGTTTGTTTTCCACAAGTTCCAAAATGATTACTTTTTAGGAAATTCCAATGGCAATGAGTCAAAAACTTTAAACCGGCATCTGAAGTGATGGAATGTTGATAATGGATCAGTTGTCCGTTGTCGTAACCAAATGCAAGAAAGTTTACAATGGACAGATGACAGACAGTGATTGTATTGTGGGATTTTGGTGCAGAAAAATAGTGCATTGGCTGGAGCAATTACTGGAGCAGCATTGGGTTTGACGTCTGAGGATCACTCGCACGAGCAGGTGGTGCAATGTGCGATAACAGGGGCGGCTATCTCCACTGCCGCAAATCTCCTCACCGGGATATTCTAAGTTGCCCCTCTTTTATTCTCGTCATGATCTAAGATGCAGAGTGGGATGTAATTGCCATAGAACTTGGTTTCCCTTTTTTTTTGTTATGTAAGGTCATTAGCTATTATCTCTTGCTTGCCTGATGCAGGCGTATCTTCAAGTATTTGGAATTTGGCTCATTTGTCTGTTTTTCTAAATATGTTGACTGTGTTAATTTTTTCTTACTTCGAAATAGAGAGAGTCATTTATTTCGACTACGTTTTTAGGCATTGGTAAAATTCTGGAACTTAATTTTGCTGATCAATTTGACTAATAATTTCCTAATTGGGGTCAGCCAAAACTGATATTTGTCGAGGAAAAAGTTAAAAAATAAAAAAATAAAAAAAAAATTCAATTTTAGTTAACATCAAAGTGAGAATTCAATAACTGGATTAACTTTGTAATCTTTGAATTTCAATAAAATACATATTATAATTGTACGCAGGCTAGTGAGTTTAAATACAAAGCATGTCTCTTTCTTTCTTAAGATTGAAGTATTCAAATGGAAAAATTGAAATTTACTTTGAAAGCGGCCAATTCATATTAAAATTGTATTCTATTTTATTCATTTTAACCCTTGACCTTTTGTCTTTTTCATGTGAAGTAGGGAAGTGTATGCAAGATAGGTTTCGGGGACGG